GTCGAGAGCGAAGAGGAGAGCCGGCAAGGGGACGTCGGCGGCGACGTGGAAGACGTAAACATCGTCCGGTGGAGAGTGCCGCTCGGGGGGGTCGACATGCACTGCCGCGGGAGGAGGGCCGGGTAACCCCATAGTGTTCCAGGATCGCGACATAACGCCGTTCACCAGGTTCATAAGGATGGGCAGACGGTGTTGACGCAACGCGGCGCACACTGCCACGATGTATCCATCACCTGTGAGCAACTCGGGCTGGAACTGGTCCACCACATAGTTGTCGCGAAAGTCAGACTTCGTGGACATGGACTTGTCATGCAGAAGCTGGGCTAGCTTCGTCTCCTGATCGGGGCTGACCTTGGCAGCGCGCACGTCAAAGCACAGGACGAGTGTGCGAGTGTGCGGTCACTGCGCCCACAGGAGGGAAAGTTGCGGATTCGTTTCGGCGGCGGGGGCGTCGGACGGAACTCCGACATCTGGCCCTGCGCACGTCGTTCCGGCTCGGCGGTCGAGCTCCGAATCCAGGAGGAGTGAGACGGGATGGAAGAAGCTACGACGCAAATCTGAAAGACAAATGGAATCCACAACCAATTAACAATATGTTAAGTCAGTACAATGACTCTTTCCTGAGGTTCGTGAGGCTTGCTGCTGTTTGATTTATTAAATCTGTCATGTTCTTGTTACTGTTACACTGGCTCATAGATTTACTAAATGTGCCCGACCCTCTCGCAGCACCAGCAAATACAAGTACGAGACTGGACGCACGAGTTACATAGGTGCATCTACAGATGCGCTTGTCACGCTGCGGGCCTGCCCCGCCCCGCCTGCAGGAAACTGATACCGGTCTGCGAGAGCGTTGAAGGGTACTTGCAGAAGCATGCAGTACGAAGAATTCCAAGCAGGACGGCACGTAACCCTACACCCGATACCGTACAAACATTGTGAAGAGAGTAAGCATGCATTAACATAAAAGCCTAACATCGGCACAATACTTGCTTCATACATCGCGAATTCGCGAGGTTGGCAGATATTAATTAAAGGAAATATGTACGTACCCCGAAGATGAATCACATTTTGAAGCCAGAGATGTAAACAGGCAAGGCAGCAAAATGCAATGCAATGCAATGCAATGCAATGCAGCGTCGAACCCAACGTCAACTATGACGGCCTCACATGTGCTTCCGCTCCTCGCCGAGAGGCTACGACGCGCGTGTCGGGCATGGTATGAAAAATGTCGATGAGCGCAGCCCTCCGAACGAGACCCAGAAGACCAAGAGTGCACTTTATCCAATGAAAAACATTTGTTAAATTAATTATGAACACGCCGCTGTGTTTCTTTTTCAAAATGAGATTTTTTGAGACAGTTACATTGTAAATTCAAAAATATGGAAAAATAGATTTAAAGTCATTTAAATGCATTAATTGGTATTTATCAATTTTTGCCACTATATTTCATAATTTGTAAAAATGAAAATAAAACACATTTTTAAAAACAAAAACAAAATTAAAACAGAAAAATATGTTTTAATATTAAATGAGAAAATTGGGTATTAATTACTAATAATCAGGAAAATACGTAAGATGTTAGGGGGGGAGCTCTAGGAGGGGGGAGCTCTAGTACTTCCCGCTTCTCTACATCTCTGATCAATTATTCCCATCATAGAACTTCCAATCATTGAATACTCATCAATAATTAAGAATTTAACATTCTTAAACATGTCACAAAATTTACGTGCACTCTCGCCTGTCAAAGATTTAAAATCTGTTCGTTTGATAGGTATTACTAATTTGGAAAGAATAGTAGATCCTCCAATTTTCACTGCAGCAACTCCTGTTGGTCCTAACAGCAAAAAACTATCAGCACCAAGTTGTTTCTTCAGATAAGATATCAAATGTTTGATTAAAAGGCTCTCGCCAGACCCAGCCTTTCCTTACACAATAACTCTTTTCATCGGGACAGAATTGTCATCAGAAAAGTTCAATATAAGTTCAATTTGTTGATCCGTGATTACTTTAATTTTTTCCTGATCCTCACTAAACACAATATCTGGTGATGTGATACATCTTCAATGACAGGTTCTTTACTATTTTTAGCCCGCCCTTCTGCTTTTAAAACAAGCAGGCCCGCCCTTCCGCCAAACGGAGTTGCCAGCTCCGCTTCGCTCCACCGGCAACTCCGTTCGGCAGGGGCCGGGCCTGCTTGGCCTGCCGGCGGCGATAGTCGGGCCTTCGGCCAGACCATTTCAGTCTCGCGATTTACTGAAGTGCATAATCAAATAAATAATGTGACCGGTAAATCACTTTGCATATTTGAGTAAACTAAAGCGTCCGGAGGGGGGCCTGCGGTCCTAGAAATTTTCCCCCTGGACATGACAAGAGAATGTAACGGGGCAACACCGTGACTACACACCCTTCTGCTTTGCTCAAGAATTAAAAAAGGCGAACCAGCGCAGTTTTTATATTGTTTGTCATATATTGTTTGTCAAAAAGTCCTAAAACTTGACTTTCTGCTATTGTTTTCAACATATCCACCTCTGGGGCCGAAACAGTAAAAGATGCGGCAAATCCGAGGGTAGTTTCTGATTCAGAATGTGTTGTTTTTGGGGGGTATTTCCTCTGACATTTTACGATTGGACGCCTCCTTGTACGTCTTTATGAGCAACGCGGTCATTTTCGCCGTATTTCGACGAAAAAGGCACTCTAGCGCCTAAACGGTGCAAGATAGGGGCAAACGGAAGAAATTTTCGCCCGCAGGGCTCTACTTTCACGAGTTACCACTTAGGAAACCATAAAAAAAAATTGATTTTCCACTTATTGGACCAACCCCTATTTCTTTGTTAGGCCCCTTTCACCCCCTTAGGGATGGTTGCCAGGATTTGCACCAGGCGTTTCGTTGTCCAGGAGTGACCCCTAAGGTACCCTGAAATTTGCAGACCTCTAGCTCATCTCCTTCCTCTTACACGGACGACGGACAGACAGACGGACGGACGGACGGACGGACGGACACGAGAGCGGTTGCATAAGCCCGCTTTAATGCTTTTTTAAAAGCAGAAGGGCGGGCTAAAAAGCATTAAAGCGGGCTTATGCAACCGCTCTCGTGTCCGTCCGTCCGTCTGTCTGTCTGTCCGTCGTCCGTGTAAGAGGAAGGAGATGAGCTAGAGGACTGCAAATTTCAGGGTATCTTAGGGGTCACTCCTGGACAACGAAACGCCTGGTGCAAATCCTGGCAACCACCAAGGGGTGAAAAGGGGTAACAAAGAAATAGGGGTTGGTCCAAAAAGTAGAAAATCATTTTTTTTTTTACCTGCAGGTGAGCGACATTCACACACTTGCATTTCCAGTGTTCGTTCGGAGTGCCAATAAGCACTTACCCCCTCACCTCTCGCCCTCCACGCGGCAGAGGGAGCAGGACGTGGCGCGCCGGCGTCCCGCTCCAGTCAGTCCAGCGTCGAGCGTTGGTGGAGAGTGCCCTGCGTAAGAGTGACCGTGACGAGAATGAGTCGGTGTGTCGAGAAAGATCTATACATCAGCGACGAAGACACCATGGAGCCGCTGGTTCTGAGTCAGGATTCGGAGGAAACCAAAGACTCATCATGCTACACCCTAGAACTCCACCCCTCCGGGATGCTTTATGAAGAGGTAAGTGAAAGTGCTTGATTCGCTGTGCGCGCCCAATCAATGTTGTATCATCGTGTGATTTCACGCTATGGCGTCCCCCGTTGCGTCGCCCACCATAATTCATCGCGAGTGCCCTTTCAACCATTCAATGTCATCGATTCGTAACTTTCGCGAGTGATTAAGCCGCACGCTCCCGCCATTCATCGAGTTTAGGTTAGGAGTCCTTTGTCTCCCCCGCCGGCGTCGTGCTCGCCGCCGCCCGCCGGCGTCGGTATTACGTCACGGCGTGTCCTGCCCTCGTCACGTAGCTGTAAATTCAGTGTTCAATCGAGTGTCTTGCCTGACGAGCTCAGCTCGGCGCGCTCGCTGTTGCCGCTTCGTGTGCCGCCCGCGGCCGCGGACTGGTGTAAGCTGGCCGGTTACTCGTTCGCGTCTCTCATTTTGTTCCTCACTTACTGATTCTGAGGTTAAGATTTTCTCAATTTTACTGAGCCTTTGACCGTCACGATTTCTTTTTCAAAACGCCGATGGCGTCCCCTCGATGGGTGCGCGGGGATTCCTGGAAATGGGATGGTGGTGGGGAGGCCCTCGCTGCTCAGCGCACTATCTCTCTCGCACTCGCAACATTAACACTGGAAAAACTAATGTTACCATGGTAACGTTTCATCATGTGACCAAGACCGGTAACGTTTTCTGACGCGACCTATCCCATGCACAAGGATAGGGCCATCACAAACTGGTTGCATCACCAAACGTTACCTGGTTTGGTCGCGTCAAGAAACGTTACCTCGGTAACGTTAGTTTTTCCAGTGAAGTAACGATACTTTTTCTCCCACAGTCGTCTTGCGACCCGGAGGCCGCGCCCCCCGCCTCGCCTCCCGCCGCCACCGAGGTACCCGCCGAGGCCCTCGGCGCCTGCAGGAAGGCCACCAGCGAGGAAGCGTCGTTCGCGGCGTTCGCGTATGAGGACGCGTACTTCCAGCAGTTGTGGAGTGAAGAAGCCCCGGCCCCCGAGTCCCACCCTCTCTCCATGCCCTTTATGGAAGAGGAGACTTGCGATGGGGTAAGTTCTCTCTCACGCAGTAAACGTTTTTCTATACCTAACTGTTCGTTTCTTTTGTTTAAGTTCTCCAAGCCGCCCGGTTCCAGCAGGGGCCAGGGGTTACTCCCTACCCCTCCAAAAAAAGTAAGTTAAGTTTTAACGTTTGTCTCTGACTTAACAGTTATCATCCGTCCTAACTCGACCTTCAGTGCAGTGCAGTCAGTGTTTGAACGTTTGGGAAAGAAGGGAGGCGTAAGTAAATCCATTACGTCCGACTTGAATTTTTTTTAAAGACAGCGTGAATAACTCGCCTTTTGTTGCAGAATGTGTTCAGCCGTCTGGGTCACCAACAGCAGCAAGAGGAAGCACATGTGGACGAGCTGCAGCAAGAGGAAGCACATGTGGACGAGCAGCAGCAAGAGGAAGCACATGTGGACGAGCAGCAGCAAGAGGAAGCACATGTGGACGAGCAGCAGCAAGGCGATCCGTGCGTGAGGTGGCGGCGCACTGCACCCCGTCGCTCCATCACCCTTGTAAGTACTTTCACCTTAATGATATTCTTTACCCCTTTCAAACAGGTTTTTTATTACTTTATTACTTTTTTCAGACTCCCCGTGCCCTAAAAGAAATCAGCCGAAGAAGGAAGAAGTAAGAAAAAAATTGTTTCATAACTTATTTTGTAAACAATCATTTTTTTTTTGTAAACAAACATTTTTTTATTTTGTAAACAAATTATGTTTTTTACATAAATCATGTGCATTCCATTTGATTGTTTTCTTTCAACAAGCCTGAATTTGTCACATCACGGGAAAGTTAACTTGGGTAAAAACTTCAACTGTCGAACGATTCTTTGAGCGGGGAAAATTTAAGTTGAACAACTCATTTTCAATACAAGACATGTTATTTTATCCAACACTAGCTACATTATGATGTCAGTACAATGATGTTAATACAAAACTCATTAGAAATAACAACATCCTCTACTTGGTTGTAGAAATGGATGAGTGAAATTACTTTACCATACTTCTGACTCAAGATTTTGAGAGCAAACATTTGACGATTCTTTGTGCGGGGGAAAGTTAAAGTTCTCATTTTAAATACAACACATTTTATTTTATCCAACACACTTTGTGATAATTAAACAAAGCTTGTTTTAATTAATAACATTTACTATTGGGTTACAAAAAGAGATGACTTTACTTGTGTTGTGAGCTGAGATTTTAAAAGCAAACAATTGACGATTCTTTCACGGGGTAAAAGATAAACCTTTTTGAGCCATACAAAATAATCATAATCCAAGTCATTGATGCTCATTCAGGCTGCAAGCCTGGCACTGCACCCTCAAGTGTGGCCACACAGAGGTGGAGGTGTGCTCGACCTGGACCTGGTGGCCTTAGGGTCGATGCGGCACAGCGGCGCTGCGGAGGCTGGAGGAGCTGGCCGTGGACCTGGCGGCGACGGGGATGCCCAGGCTGGCCGTGGACCTGGCGGTGTGCTCGCCGTCGCCCCGACGCTTTCGCGGCGGGGGATGCCCAAGCTGGAGATGCTCACCGTGTACTTGGAGTCGCTGCTGCGCTGGAAGTGCTGCGGAGGATGGACGTGGACCTGGCGGCCTCCGGCCCTGGACCGCAGCCGTCCTGCTGACACAGAAACACACACATACACACACACGCGCGCGCGCACACACACACGCACACACGTCTAGGAAAACGCCGTCGTGGTGGAGGTCGGCGACATGCAAGTGCCGTGTATTGCTGCGCTCTGGCGGCGTTTTGCGGAACTATGGCCGTAACCGGCAGTCTATTCGAGTCGAGCTGCTGCGGTAAGAGTTGCCATTTTTGAAGTGCTAATTGATGGGTCCTTTTCTCTACTCCCATCCAAGTCTAGTGGTTCGAGAAAGTCTAGTAGCTCCTGTAGCACACTGTCATCAACTCCTTCGAGAGCTTCCATTTTTTTTTGGACTAATAGCACTTTCAACCTGCTCATTGAAAAAATAAAAATATTAATGCGCAACCAGCCCTCACACCTGGATGCGAGGTAAAAACAAAAAGGGTGCCGGGAACTGTGGCGTACCATGTATACCGGGTGATTAAGAGAAGACGCAGGTGCGGGCGTGTTTGCCTATCCTCGACTCGGCGGGTGCACGGGTCCAGGTCTGGGGAGAGGTGAGGAGGGGACCCGTGCGCCCACCGAGTCGAGGATAGGCAAACCCGCCCGCACCTGCGTCTTCTCTGAATCACCCGGTACATGTCAACAAAGCCAACATTTTTGTAAATTATCAATTTTCTAATACTTTATTTCCTAAATTTTGAATGAGTAATTGGCTGAGCGATTAGCGAAGCCCATAACTCCACTGACCGAAAAAGTTTCATTCTGTTTGTCTGTCTGTCTGTTTGTCTGTCTGTCTGTCTGTCCGCACAATAACTCGAGAAAGAATTGAAAGAGCGATCTGGGAATTTCAGGGTCGTTTTGTATCACAAAAAGACAGATCGAGTTCGAAGATGAGCATTCTAGCTCAAAAATTGACTTTTAAAAAAATCAAAACATTATTTTTCAAATATTTTTTAATGGGCTTCTAAGGGGTAACTCATGGAAGTAGAACCCTATGGACGAAAATTTCGTCCGTTTTGCTCTATCTTGCACCGTTTGGGTGCGAGGGAGCATTTCTTGGCGAAAATAAGGTAAAAACGACAAAACGGTCTATTAAATCGTAAAATTTAACTCGTCTGGGGTGTCAGCGCCGCAGGCCTAGCTATATGTGCGCCAGGCGCGTCGCAGCGTAACAGTGTTTCGTGAGATATCGCGAAGCCTGTTACGCGAGACGTGGTCTGGCGTACACAAGCTAGTTTACCTTGGAACGATTTTGTAGGATCCCTCGCAGCATGGCCACATGCGACTGGGAAATTGGAATGGTCACTCTCAACTCCCTGAGCGGAACATTATGTTTTTTGGGCAGCTTCTCTCTTTCCTCTTTCACCCATGAGTTTGCTCCTTTGATTATGGAAGAAGCCAAGAAAGAACTGTCCACCGAACGCTCAATCACTGTGGCATACTTGACAGAGAGCGTATTTCGGACAACTACATTTATGGCGTGAGCCATGCAGTAGAGTCTTTTGAAGCCTTCAAGGGCTTTAACAATGTCTGCACCGCCATCGGTCACAAACACTAGATTGTCCATAAGTCGGTGGGGTATCCCTAATTCATCTAACTTTTCTTTAATAAATTTGCGGAGCTCCTCTGCTGTTGATGCGCCTCCAAGCGAGACAGTAAAGGCAACCCGACTCTTCGACTTGTACTCCAGAATAAAGTGTAGAGTTAGGACAATATAATGGTCACTGGTATGCTTTTCTGTCCACCCATCAGTCGTGGCAGCACAACGACCCTCCAGGATCGCAGGCATCACTTCCTCTACCAAAGTTTCTCTTGCCTTGTCCGCCTGGCGCTCTATGTACTTAGCTACAGTCTTGCGGTGGGGCATCAGCGTCTTTATATCCATTTTACCGTACTGATTTGTTATGTTATTGGTCGTCTGTAGCAGATCTTCCAGCCCAGGGCCTGCTAGAGCATTTGCAGGGCGGAAGTCCCTGGCGCAAAAGTTAGCACACGCCGTGTTAAATAGTTGCCTAGCAGCTGGATCGGGATCTACAAACTCCTCAACCTTCTCAACAGCTCCCGGACAGTTCTCTATTGCGTGCCTTGATAAAGCTGATGAACCCCTGGCACTGCCCCTGTACGTGAGTATGGCCTTGCATCTAACACACTGCACTGCAGAGACAGAGGCTTTGGTTTGTACCACCTGTATGGGGAACAGGGTATCCCACGCCTTGCAGGTCGGATTAGAGGCCCTAAAAATTGCACCCCAGTCGCCGACGATATAATCGCCTGACTTTAGTTTCTTGGCTATATCTACTTTATCAATTCGTTCTTTACAGGGGCCGGCAGAACTAGGCTCATCAGGTGATTCAGTCAAATCGACGGGGTCCGAAGCCTGTTAAAAAAAAAAAAAAAAAACGAGATCGTGACAAACTTTTGGCTAATTTTTTGACTCGTGTGAAAATGTGTTCAACTATGCGCTCCTGTAAGAACATTATACATGCACATGAAGGATGTCCCACTGACCGCGTGCATTTTCCTTTTTTTTTGCCACTGAACAACTCATGGAGCCGTGCGGGCGAGTTGCCTACTGTCACTGTGCGAGGCGCCTTGGCGCCGCGCACTGCACTGTTGAACAAAAAAAGTACGCAGTCTCTGGGACACCCTGTATCTTTGTAATCAATCGTACAGCTGACGATAGTTGAGCGTAAGTAGGCTTTATTTATAATAGTTACTAAATAATGCAACAGTAATGATATTTACGGCATGACAAACTTCCGGACGGTGGCAGCGGCGAGTAACGCAGCGCTATTCGACTCGGTTCCATCCCGATGCGGTGACGGCGGATTGTCGTGTATTACATAGGGTGCCAAATTTACGCACTCGTTTACCTAGGTGGGCAACAACAGGGGACATTGGTCTCCGTTTATTTCACTGGAAACGGGTTGCCTACCATGGAAATCAGAGGGCGAGATTTGGCCTCCCTATTATAATACCATTGCACTATACAATAAAGTGTGTTTATACTTCCAGTTTACCCAGTTTACTTGATTTGGGGGTGCGAGGCCCTTTGGACATCGCTCACAACAATGTCATGGGGCTGCCAAAAATTTGTTTCGGGATGGGCGTAACTGCCAGCAACACCCCAGTTTCAAGACCGCGCATTTTAGGCAACGCAGAAGTCCCTCAATTGTCCAAAATAAATAGACCGGAAGTAGACACACCATGTATGTATATATAGAATGAAAAACAACACTACACCTACAGCTACAGCTGAAAAATCGCGTTACATTAGTTCCTTAAAATTTTATTTGAAACTACAAAATAGTGAAAGAAGGGTTCTGTGGAAGGCCGGCGTATTCCATTTAAGAAACAA